TGCAGGAGTCGGTTCGCTACTGTAGGATTGTATTGCATATATATCGCACCCGGATTACTTATCTCCACACGCGGTATTGCGACCGGAAACAGCTTCTGTCAGTTATGGTGGACCGACGGAATGATTCACCCCAGCGGACTGGGACACGCAGTCATGAGCGCCTGGGTACACTGGGCGGCGGGTTTCGTTTTAGAGGGACAAGAGCGTCGAACACGCACCTCAGCGTAGATGCAGCCCGGATGCGGGATGCTCATCTGGATCCGGGGCGCAGGGCTGCAGAACAACACCGGGACACGGCTGCACGAGCTGCTGCCCATCAAGACCCGGACTACAGGGCTGCGGAGCAGCAACAGAACATCACTGCACAAGCTGCTGCCCGTCAAAACCCGGCTCGGCGGCACCGTATTCATGCTGCAGAAACAGCAGCAGCAAGACAACAGCCCATCTGGCCAGCAGCTTACCCGCTTCACAACCATGTTCGGCGGCATTCAACCCACTGAAGCACGTGTTGCAGATCTAGTAGACGCACTCAACCAACGCGTCATCACGGATTTGTCCGATCTCACAGACCTCGAACCCCGTGTCGTGCTGCAACGGAACGAACCCAGGCACGCGCTCAACACACGCCTCCTGATGCTCCAGGCACGCCGCAAAGGAGCGCGTTTGGTCAGCTGGAACGCGGACCACGTCCCGGTTAGGCAACATGGTGCAACCCAACAACAGCCACTCTCCCACGTCGAAAAGGCTGTCGCAATGCGAGTAAAAGACGCCACCTTCGACCACACCACCGCCGACACTTGGTACTACGAGGGTGCACGCTACACCCTACTCGACACCACTGCTGCCGACACCGGCGCGTGCCACAACAATGAAGTCGAGGCGTGTGGCCTGCTTACCGACAGCCGTGAACCGCCCGACGACGGCCGCGGCCCGTACTGGCGCCTCCACTACCTACCTGCAGCTGTCTTGGTCCGTCCCATTAAAGGGCACGCGCCCAAAGCGATACTAGCAGACTTAGCGGACTTCGCAACCAAAGGTGCTGCCTTCGCCATCGTACCACGGCCCTCACCGGCAGCAAACATCACCGTGCCAGCCGCCAACACCGGCACCACCACCAAAAATGTACGTCGAGTCAATGTACCACTTGGTGACTACTACGCCGTCACCGACTACTTCGTACAGGGCCGTAGCTTCAAGGAAGAATGCTGGGTCGCGGACCTTTCCGTCCCGCCCGGTGGCCTCAAGCGTGCAACCATGTACGTGTTGCTCACCCGCTACAAGACACTCGACCACATCCGCCTCCTCCGCCCGCTCTCTACCACACCCGACGAACGAACACGAGTCGTCAAACAGTTCATGGCAGCAACCAAGCTGGACCCCGACCTGGCGGCCGAACTCCGCCTCCTCGATCGCCGTGCAACCGAAACCCGTGAACGCTATACGACCGAGTACAAACACGCCCGAAACCTAGAGGAGCGTTGGACCTCCACAGCCAACACTACCTGACACGTCCAACAGTTCGTCTGCCTCGCCACTGGATGGCGTTAAATGCCAGCGTTGCACGGCTCTCTAGCCGTCCGACGACACGCCCGCGCGGCTGTGTGCATCCCTTGCACTTCTGGGTTCGACTCCCACACGGGTGTAGTAGTATACGCACGGACCGTCGTACTCGTGCCACCCAGCCGGGGGACTACGGCCCCCTCGCGGGCGGAGCAGCCCGCGTCTAGTAACAGCAGCTAACAGGCATGCTTGTTAGGAAATGTTAGCCTAACAGATTCTCTAACAGTGATGAGGCTGTCTGATGATGTTTGGGCTGGCGGTGGGTGGATCTGGCTGTTAACAACCATGTTGAAGAAGTAGAACAAGAATTGGTGATGTTAACCGTTGTTAAGGATTGTCAGATCTTTTTAGACTGTATTTTAGCTGTCTGGCAGTGTTGATGGATAACCTCGTTTAGAACAAACATTCTTAAACGGTTTATATTGAAATGTCCTGCCTTTTGCCTATTATCTGGTGAACCATATTACCTCACTTATCACTGTAGCTTCTCATAGCACAGTGAAGAGGGAAGCGGAGGGAAGGCATCTCGGAATCACATCCGTGACCGGCTCGCGTCCGGGGCTCGTGGAAAGTCGCGCTCAATTGGATGGTTCCGGAGCTTCATGGTTGCTCGCGTTTTTCGTTAGCACGCACCCTCTTCACACTCAGAGGTCGCAGTTTCGAGTTGCACACCGCAAATTTCGAGTTGCACACTGAAATGCGGGGACGTGAGGACAACAGGTCGCGGGTTCAAATCATGGGTCACACGCGAGTTGCACACGAGGATGCGAGGACGCGAGGACACCAAGACGTGAGGACACGAGGATGCAAGGGCACATGGACGCGTGAGCGTGTGGGCACATGGGTGCATGGGACCGTGGCACTGTGGATGTAGCCACACGTGGATGTAGCATGGACGTGTGGACGTGGGACATGAGGATGTAACATGGGCGTGTGCATGAAGTGTGGACATGTGCATGTGTACACATGTACCATGAACATGTGGGCGTGAACATGTGGGTGGGGACACACGGATACTGGGCCGTCAGGCCATGGGGATGACTGGGCGTGGTGGTGGGTAACGAACAACAGGTAGTTCGGTTGTTGGACATGAACTTGCAAGGTTAAACTTTTATCACAAAATATCAGGATAACTGGGGACGCCTGGGCGTGGCTGTGGGTAGTTCCACATAGTTCCACTGTGGGACAGGACTTGCAGTGGAAAACTAGACTACAACGGCTCTGCCACGAAATGATGTGAAGTCATGCACACCGCAACATTCCCCGGGATAAATTCAGTCGCAGAAATTCTATAGAATCATACAGATTCAGAATACATTCTATCAACCAGCAATACTGCACAGCACAGTTATTGTATAGAAGTAATGTGTTCCTGACATCATGCAGGATGTTGGCGGTTAGGTACAGTTGCAGGTGGAGGCTCGTGGCTTCTGAGCTTGACGGGCCGGACTCAAGCCACACCTTCCCCCCCGACACCCCAGCTGTCCAGTGCGGATGCAACCAGAGAGGCGCAGGCGCGAGCCAACCGGATGCCTGAGCAAGTGGCGGTGGATTGAGCAGCAGCTGCAGTGCGATGGGCAGATGTGCGAGCCAACCGGACACCTGAGCAAGTGGCAGCAGACCGAGCAGCAGCTACTGCTCGGTGGGCGTGGTGGTCGGAGGCACGAGCCAACTGAACACCTGAGCAGGTGGCCACACATCGAGCAGCACATGCAGCTCGGGTAGTGGAGGCATGAGCCAACCGAACGCCTGAGCAAGTGGTGGCAGACCAAACAGTGGATGCAGCTCGGAAGCATCAAGCCTCCCTATGGCAGCCAAACTGCGTGTTACGGCCCCCCCCCTTAGCAACTGGACTAGTTACTCCTGAGCCCCGTAGCGACCCCGTAGCGACCCAGTAGCGACCCAGTAGCGGCCCCGTAGCGACCCCGTAGCGACCCCGTAGCGACCCCGTAGCGACCCCGTAGCGACCCCGTAGCGACCCCGTAGCGACCCCGTAGCGACCCAGTAGTGGGGCAGTAGCGACCCAGTA